TTCTCAAGGGCCTGAAAGTTATTCTCTTTCAGCGTAATCACCTGGAAGGGTAAAGTGCACCTTCTTCAGTGCCTGTAAGAGAACAGAACTGTGACTTTGATCATTGCCAACCAGCAAGCACACATAGCAGTTCATAGGGAGTGCCTCTCCACCTGCTTCTTGTAATGTTTTTCACTTTCTGAATTCTTGCAAGTCCCAACATATTCCACTCTCCCTACTAAGTCACTTGCCTTCTTTGAAACATCCAAACCTAACAGCTCAATGTGGATTACAACTGAGCTTCTTCCCTGTTGCAATGGTCTTTAAAATCTCTTTCTACATTCTTTGTTAGTGACTAACTTTGCTTATCTTTGATAATGTCTGATTTTCAGGGAAACTCCCATGATTTGAGCTCCCGTCAGCTGGACTCATCTGCATGTCCTTTCACTTACATCTTCTGGTATCTGAGCTGGGACTGTCAACTGGATCACTTATCCATGGCTTCTACATGGGACCTCTCCTTGTTTAGCTTCATGTACACTGTCAGCAATTACCTCGTGCCACATGGCCCCTATCCTACTCATAGTCTTGTTTACAGACTTGGACCCAGATACTCATGGGCTGCACCCAGATGGCCACCTTGAAGAGGAGATAAGCTGTCCTCCTGCCAACCAAAGCTCACATTTCTCATTTAAACTCTGCATGGAGTCTCAGCAGGAAAAGAGGTGAAGTGCCTGTGAGAAAGAACCAGAGTGGTGAACAATGGCAGTGGTGATCACCTAGTGAGTAGGAATACCTCTCTCCAGCTTGGTGGGATAGCTGTGAATCAAGCCCAATAGACAGAGCTGTGGGGACCAGCAAAAAACCAGAGGCTGCACAGCACAGCAGCGTGTCCTCAGCTGATTGTCTTACATCTGTTTTAGATTACAGACAACAGACGAGCTAATGGATCATGAAATTAAATTAGCCCCCCCTTCTTAGCCCATGTGGCTTGGGAAATGGATGTGTTATATAGCCTAAGGAATCGGTAGCTTTTTTGTCACAATATATTGAGAACTGCTGATGAGGATAACGTGCTTTTGTCTTGTGGTTGCTTTAACAGGCACTGAACCTCGGAAAAGGTGGGGAGTGGGGGCTGAAATAAGATGACAATCCTATTAATATTAATCTCTCCAGTGTGTGTGTGTGTGTGTGTGTGTGTGTGTATGTGTGTGTGTGTGTGTGTGTGTGCTAAACATATATTCCAACACTATGCTCAAGTACCATGGCCTCTTCTTAAGAGTGACCTAACTCTGGAAGAGTGAAAGACTACCTTTAAACTAAATTCTTAGATTCCTAGGAGCAGAGGAATCTGAAATGAAGCTGATATAATGCTGATATAATTGTGTGCCTCCCCGTGAGGATTTTATTTTCTTAGATAAATATCAAATGAAAGCCCTGCTATTAATTTGTGTCATGCAGTCCTATGCTTATATTTCTGTTTTTTTTTTTTATACCACAATTCCAAGTTCCAGCTTTACCTCAAGATCATTTGGTAGGGCATTCCTTGTGGCAGCTGATGTCTCAAGTAAGAAGAGATTTTGATCGCAGACAGGTAAACAAATACAGAACTTGAAGAAAGGAGAGGAAATGTTCATCATGGACTAGGGCAGAGCAAAGGAAAGGTAAAGGTGAGAAGGCAGAGCTCGTGCTTCACGATAGGAGAGCAATCCATCTGTGACAGAGGATGTGCTTATAGAAATGGTAGTAGTAGCCATGTGTTAAGAGTGAGATTGGAAATTAAAGTTCCAGAGATATAAAAGCTTACTGTTCCAGTATCTTGCTGTGCCCAGCCACCATGACAAGAGACTGGGGACATGGAAACTTCACATCTGAGTGGACTAGCAGAGATTCTCATAGGAGAGGAAACCTGTAGTCAAGTAAAACCCAGGCTCATCTCAAAGGTGAACTAGATGAATGTCTGAAAAGTGGTGTCTCAACAAACAAGGCATGCTTCCGCCCAGGGTTTCAGAGGCCATCCAGGAAGACAGGCTATAAAACCATGGCTATGACTAGCTGTAACAAGATCAGCAAAAAAGGACCAAGGAATCTTGAATTCAAATTTTGACATATGTTCTTAACCTACCTCATGGCCCTCAGCCTCTGTTCCCACCTACCAGCTCTGCCCACTGCCAAGAATGTGATTCACCGAAATCCCAGGAGCAAACTGTGTATGCCAAGGCCATATGTGGGTAAAGCCTATTTCAAAGCACCAATTATCTTTCCTTTGTACTCAGGCAAAGAAGCTAATTCTCATCCCAATTACAGGTCATCCTGAATCATTTACTCACAAATATCTTTCCCATTTCACTGTAGGAAGCCAAACTCAATCAATAACTCCTTATCAAGGAGTTATTCATCAAGCATAATGTGCAGATTTGAATATTAAAATATCAATAGAACCAAAATGGGTGGTTGTACTGTGTGGGAGTCTGCTTTGTCTTCTTGCCATCTAAAGGGTTACCAAGGAATAGGATGCCAAGAAGGGCACTCAGGGGCCAAGGGCATCTGTTATCTATGTCTCATTTGACAAGATGCTGCAGATAGTATTTGGCCTCCATGGGAACCTCTTTGTTTCTGTACAAACTGATGTATTAAAAGGGGCCTGAAGATATATATACATATATATATGTGTGTGTATATACATATACACATATATATATATACATACACACACACACACACACACACATATATATATAATAGCTATTAGCTTAGTATTTAATTGGACTCCTGAGTGAGAAGAGGTTAGTCTCTGACACTTGTGCCTGCTCTTGGGATATTTTTCATCCTGTTGAGTTGCCATGTCTAACTTCACTATGATAGTTCTTGATATATATATATGTGTGTGTGTGTGTGTGTGTGTGTGTGTGTGTGTGTGTGTGTGTTCATGTTTGTTGGTTATCTCTTTAGAAGCCTGTTCTTTTCTAGTGAGAGACAGAAAATGAATAGATGCTGAGGACAGGAGAAGTAGGAAAGAACTGAGAAGACTAGAGGAAGGGGAAACTATAATTAGGATATATTGTATAAGGAAATAATTATTTTCAATAAAAAGAAAAGAAAAATAAAAAGGAAAGGAAAGGGCCTGATATGGATCCTTGGCCCAAGATACACCTGTTGCCACTCAGCTGCCAGAGGACGCTGCTCCTCCAGAGATGTGCTGTCCACCCAGCATGTCTCACCAACTGTGTCAGCTAGAGTTACAAAAGCTAAAGACACTGTCACTCACCCGCATTAATCAAACCTTTTAGCTTCTGGACCAGTCTTCATCCTGTGGACAAAATAGAGACCAACTAAACGACAATAAAACGTTTCTTACTTTTTTTACTTGTTCTTCCTGGATTTCTCATCTTGCACCCTGATCTTATTCATCCTCCCCTCCCCTTGTACTCACCCTCAACCCTTCCAGAGAAGAAAATAATCCCATTGTGGAAACTATAGTGTGTCAAATGTGTTCCACAGGATACCTTTTTGCCTACGTTTCTTTCCTTTGAACGAGTCTTTGGTCTGGTATGTGCCCTCTGGCTTCTGCTACACTATCAATACTGGAACCTCAGTGGGATTCCTCTCAGATACCCTTTTGTTGCCCAGTGTCATGGAGGTCCTGTAGTTTTTAATCTGTAGAACTGGTCCCTTCATGCACCCTAGCAGTTTATCGATGGGGTAGGTGTTGGGGTGGGTCAATTCAAAGCCCTGGACCTCGGCTTGAGAAGTATCTGAGCTGGTCAGCCCATCAGCTCCCTCACGCTCTCACTGGCAATCTCCACAACCAGGGTAAGCTTTACCCTACTGCCTAGACAAGGTGCAGGGCCTGCTCTCCAGAGTGTGGCAGCTGGTGACGGACATGGCCAGTTCTCCCACTCTCATGATCCTGAGGCCAGCTTTCCCACCTGCCATAGGTAGTGAGTGACAAAGGAGAAGAGCAGGTCATCTCTCCCTCATCTGTGCTATCACACATGAATCAAGAGACAGGGATGGCTCTCCTACACTCATACCCTCAGGACAGGCTCACTTGCAACTCTATATCCGGGGCCAGCTCTGCTATGCTGCTCAGGCAAGCAAGGCACAGGGCCTGCTCTCTTGCTCTACAGCATCCTGTGGCAGCTGAGTGAAAGTATCTCTCTCACTCACATTCCCACATACTAGAAAAGTTGTGAAGCCAGCTCATATCCTTGGGACCCCACAACTACCTTAACGTGCTGGGCCCACTCTCCTGAGTACTGCAACTGGCTAGGGGCTGGGTCAGCTCTCCTGCATTCATACTCCCTGGGCCAGCTCTCCCATGATGCCCAGGTGAGGGGCAGGGATAGTCCTGTATAGCCCTCACACATCAATGTGTCACCGGCCAACAGCCCAGACCAGGAACATCTACCATTGCCTTTAGTGGTAACAGACACCTGCTGTTGCAGGGCCATGGTCCTAATCATGTTCCCCAGTGGTGGCCCAGGCCAGGACCGCACCATGCTCCCAGGGGGCATCCTTGGCTACTCTCATCAGGCTGTTCCTCACTACCCTTGAGTCTCCAGGTCTGCCTCTTTTAATTGTGCCCACATCCTTCTGTTTTTTCTTTCTCTTCCAGTTCTCCAACACTTACTTGCTCTTCTTCTTTCCTGGGGTTGCTGAGTGCCTGGGGTCATCTCAAGTGTGGTCTCAGAGTGCTGTGCTCCACTTGTGGATCATGGTGCTGGGCAAGGGTCATCTTGAGCATGGCCCGCTCCACACTCATGTCTTCACAGTAATGGACTGGTGGGCATCTCAGTCTCACTTCTTGGAGGGAGTGTTAGGCTACTCATCATTCTGGGTTTTTTTTGTTTGTTTGTTTGTTTGGTTGGTTGGTTGGTTGGTTGGTTGGTTTTTGAGACAGGGTTTCTCTGTATAGCCCTGGCTGTCCTGGAACTCACTCTGTAGACCAGGCTGGCCTTGAACTCAGAAATCCAACTGCCTCTGCCTCCCAAGTGCTAGGATTAAAGGCGTGCACCACCACCGCCCGGCGCTATTCATCATTCTGATGTTCACAGGTCACAAACACTGAGTGTAGACATAGCCTCTCGCCTTTTTGCCACCTACTGACACACACATGTGACAGTGGCTACCCCTGCAATGTCTCCAGGGGTAGACAGTCTGTTTATTTTCATTTTGACTTTCTGCCATCTCGACTTACAGGAAAATGATTTCCTGGGTTGTTTACTCTTGATAAGAGTTCAGTCTTCTGGTCAAATTGTTGGTGACTGTGGGTCAACATCATATTGTCTGGCCTTTGCCCTTTTGTACGCTTAGACTCATTTTCATTTACTGGTTCTACAATTTTTCTAAGAAAAGGTTTAATGATGCAAACTTCCAGTTTTCTCACAGAGTTCAATTTACATAAGTTATACGGGGAGATTTTTCCCCCCAAGCTCTAGTAATTATGACTCAAAAGTTCTGGAGAGAACCTCGGATATTGTGTTGTTGTTGTTGTTGTTGTTTTTTAAAAAAAAGTCCTGCTATGGAAGGTCTAAGGATCACAGAGAGGGTCTCAACTCCCAAATTCTTGATCTGGTAAGTTAATTGACCCAGAACCTCTCAAAGGTCTGGAATAGAGCAAGGGCATTTGTAGTCTTAGAAAATACAATTATGTTAAAAATTGAAAGCTAAATGCGATGAGTCGGACTTGCATTCTCAGCACTGGGAGGCTAAGCTAGGAGGAGGTTAAGCCAATTCCAGCTTCTAGGAAGTTTGAGATCAGCCTGGTTTCTTTGAGATTCTGTCTCACAAATGGTGGAGGCCAGTGAGGTGGGTCATTGCATGAGCGCACGTTCCACCAAGCCTGATGAGCTGAGTTTGATCCTAGAAGCCCACACAGTAGGAAAGGAAGCCTAAGCCTACAAGTTGTCTGCTGACCTCCACATGTGTGCCATGGCAGGCACATAGCCTGCACAATCATGTTAGTGTCTGTTAGTTAGTAATAGAGTTATTCCAATTAATAGTGGAATAAAAAGGGACCTGTATGTGATTTGGCCAGGATTAGGAAGGAAAAGTGGGAGTGTCTGGCAGATTGCTACTATTTATTGTTATTTGGTAAATTCTGACATTGTGGAAAGACACAGATGTGTTTGTCTGCATTTCTGACAGAGCTAAAACAAGCAAGCAGAACAACCTGAAGCCTTGACGAGGTTGACACCCAATGGCAGCTGACGTCCACAGTTTGCATGGATGATCTTTGCTCTAGTGCCAGTGGCACTTGGCAAGCGGCACTGCAGACAGAAAAATTGAGACATTACGTATAGCTGCTCTGTGACATCAACATCACTTGCTCCCATTTGTGATCCGTTCCTCCAGCCAGTTATATTAAACTGATAGTTGACCTGTGAGTTAAAACCACACTTCCATCAGTAGGTGTGTCCTGGATAGCCATATAATCAACAACACGAGGAAGGAGAGTGTCCCACATAAAATTTAGGCTCACAGAAAGAAATGGCCTCACCTGAAGGCACTGCTACAGCCCATTGAGAATCTCTAAGAATACTCTAACTACTTTGTTCCCAAAATTTGTCTCTCCCTTCACCTAAGGTGACTGCCATCAAAGCCCACTTATTGAAAATGGACAAATATGCATTCCCTACACATTGTGTGGGAGAGATTCAGCTGCTAAAACTCTCCCAGGAAACTGAGAACTAACATATATCCAATGCTTGAGGCTGGACAGATGACGATAAGGAAATGTTTATTCTAACTTGTGGTTCTGAAGACCCCATATGTAGGCGCTTCAAGTGATGGCCTTACTCCTGGCAAAGACCAGGTAGCATATGACAAGATGTTGAGATGTGTATGATAAGTTTACCAGTCTTCTTTCTTTTAAAACCACCAAGGGTATTCCAAACCAGCATTCAAACCCTTCTAAACACCACAGTCAGGTTGTTTTTATGCCCTCTTCACATATCACTGCAGAGACGATCTCACCTCATGAGCCTTCGGGAGCCATATTTTAACTAGATCCACACTGTAGTGGGAGCTAAGACACAGAAATGGTCCAAACTCCATAAGGCACATGCAAGTAGTGGACCTGTTCACAAAGAGAAGGCTAGGAAGTGATGCAAAGTCTTTTTAGTTGGTGATAAATGGATGTGCCAAGCTCCGTCTCTCTCCCAGGAGGACTTTTTACCCAGACGTGTACATAACATCTCCTCTCAGCTCCTTCTGGTTTTCATTCTCTTTGATTTTTTTTTTTTTTTTTTTTTGGTGGCTCACCTTTACAATGAGGCCACTTTCACTGCCGTATGTAAAAATGTAAACTTGACCAATCCCCAAGGATTCTGTCAACCTTTCCTGCTGTATTTTTTTTCGTAGCATTTACTCTTATCTGCTCATCAATTCTGGAATGGAGACTTCTGTGAATGTCAAAGGACTGTTCTCACTCTCATTTCCCCGGGGCATAGAAGGCTTCTTGGCGTACCATAAACATCTCTTGAATTAATTAACAAATGAACAGCTGGTGAAACCCTGAGTTCTTCTTGGCTGGTTTTGAGTCAGTCAGATCTGATGTGAACAGAGAAGCATGTGACAACAGTGACAGGCTTCTCGATTAAGTGATCGTTAGCATCACTTCAGAGGAACAGAGCCCAACCTTGTGTGATCACTTTTCTGACAACTACAGAGATAACTACATAGGGATCATCCTCAGATCCCTATGAGGAAGTCATAGCTTTCCAGCATCTGTCAGAGAAGGGAAGATGCAGTTGCAGAGTTGTGACCACATAGCTATTTAACAAGAGAAAGGTTTGTGGGGGCAACTGGAACCGTGCCACAGGGAAGGAAGTTCTGTATTAACTGACGATGTGGGGAGGCTAATCTCAGCTGGGATGTTAATGGAAGGGGATCGAAGGTCTTTGCTACTGGGTCTAGAGAGATGGCTCAGTGGTTAAGAGCACTGGCTGTTCTAGAAGTCCTGAGTTCAATTCCCAGTAACCACATGGTGGCTCACAACCATCTGTAATAGGATTCAATGCTGCCTTCTGATGTACAGATGTACATGCAGATAGAGTACTTATAAATAAGTGAATGAATGAATGAATCTTAAAACAACAACAACAAAAACAACGACAACAAAAACCCCTTTGCCACTGATACTCTCTGGCCCTATGATAAGTCCTGTTTTTTGTTGTCAGTGATGAAGGGCAGTACACAAGCCTATTGTGAACACATATCCTAACTGCTTATATCTGGCTATTTTTCACTGGTATGGGCAATTACCACAGTCCACAGTCAGTCTAGATAATTCATTTCAAGCCAGGGTCCCGCACCCATGTTATACAATCCCCAAGGGAAACAGTAAGCAAATGTAAATGGTACAACTACCCATTGCCTACTAGTGCTGAGGTACAATGCAGATATCCTGAAGTGAATTGGTTTGCATCTGTAGTTTGGAGCACACCTCATGTTAACTCTCCAACTCTGTACTAGAAAGAAGAGGCAACACAATGATTTTGGCATCCAGCTCCATGATGAACAAGCTAACAGCTGGTGTTGGAGTGACAAAAAAAAGGGAAAGTGAAAAGAAAAAAATCTCACTGGCTTTCCTCTGTGGAAGCTGTTTGCAGATTGATTTTGTGTATACACATTCATGTGTGTTTGTATGTGTATGTTTATATACATAGGTGCAGGTGCACATGTGAATGTGTGTGCATGTGTGTGTGTGTGTGCATTTGTGTGTGTGTGTGTGTGTGTGTGCATTTGTGTGTGTGTGTGTGTGTGTGTGTGTGTGTAGGGTGTACGGCAAAGGCAAATATCAGATATCTTCCTTTATACTAATGGGGCTATATTCTCTTACCCAGGATTCCCTTTTTCCCATGCTTTTGCAGAAGCAGCTTTGGTAACTTGCTATTTCTAACCCAGGGTCCATTTGAAGAGAGGTTTAAAGAAATATATGCACCCCTCTTTTTGTCTGCTTTGTCATAGGGAGACAGTTTCTGAGATCCTTAAGGTCTTGTTTATGTAAGTCACAAGAATATGCTAAAATATTAAAGGGATATGTTATTATCTTCTCAACAAACACTTCGCTTTAAAGGAGTAACTTTCTAGAAATAAAGGCTAATTAGAAGCCAAGCCTGTCTTCTAAATGACAGATTCAGGAAGCTAGAAAGTTGAAAGCATCTTTGTCAACTGTTTGTGTGTAGCCTCATTTTTTTGCTAGCTACATCTAACTGTCCATATCACAGATATTGTTACAGTGACTTCACAGAACAAATGGCAATCTTTTGATTATTTTCTGGTATCTCTTGGTTAAAAGTTACAAGATTTTTATTCATATTAATCAACAGAGAGTATTTCAGACTCAAGAAAGCACTTATCCCTTGAGCTAGGAGTTGTGAGCCTGTCCTTGGTTCTTCGAGTTTGCTCTTATGGTCCATTGGCTTTGAGTGACATTGAGCACCTCTATTCACCCCTGATTCTATCAAGTCGTCATCTACCCACCTCTCACTTAGGCTGGGCCAGTTTCCATTGCTCGGTGATCATTGACGCCCTCCATTTCTATACTGGAATTCCAGGAAAAGAAAAAACATATAAATGGGCCAAAAGTACTCAAAAGTTAAGTTTCCAAACTGCGATATTCTTGATGATTTTTTACTAATTGTGAACAAAGATCATCATTTTTATTATTTATGTGTGTGTGCATATGTGTATGCCTGTATATGTGCGTGTGTCTGGGGTTTAAGCCATCCCCCTGAAGCTGGAGTTACAAGCAGGTGTGAGCTGCCTGATGGGGGTGTTGGGAACAGAACTTGGGTTTTCTGCAAAATGAACATATGTTCTTTAGCCCCAATCCTTACCATTTATTCAGACACAGCTTTCAGCCATTTGTTCTTACCTGCATGTTCTCTGACATGTGTGACATTTGACTTTCAGACTGACATCCAATCCATGAAATATTTTAAAAATTTTAGAACATACCAACTTCCATCAACCTACAGGAACTGATAGATACTTTTGCACTTGTTTGGGTTATAAAAGAAATATGAGTATTACCAGAATCGAAGTGGAGTCATCTGTGCCTGTGTTGACATCATCAAGGAAAAGCAAACACAGCAGGAGATTATAAGAAGGGGTTCTTATGCACCATTGCCTGTAATATCCACCACTT